AGCCGTGAGCAGCCAGCTTCTCCAGGAGAATGCTGTGGGAGACAGTGTCAAAGGCCTTACTAAAGTCCAGGTAGACAACATCCACAGCCTTCCCCTCATCCACTAAGGGGGTCACCTTGTCATAGAAGGAGACCAGGTTAGTGAAGCAAGACCTTCCTTTCATAAACCCTTGCTGGCTGAGCCTGGTCCCCCGATTGTCCCACACATGCCACGTAATGGCACTCAAGATGATCTGCACCATGACCTTTCCCGGCACTGTCAGGTTGACAGGCCTGTAGTTCCCGGGATCCTCCTTCCAACCCTTCTTGTAGAGGGGCGTCACATTTGCTAGCTTCAGTCATCTGGGACCTCCCCAGTTGACCAGGACTGCTGATAAATGATGGAAAGTGATGATAAATGATGAAAAAAAATCCTTAATAGCCTTTTCGATTTAAGTAGTACATCATGATCTTATTGTCCATTAGCCTTTGAACATGATATCCGAAGGACAAACATGGAGCTATGGCCCTATCAAGAGAAGATACTAAGAGATCTTTAGTTTTTAATAGTAGTCTAATAATACTACATTTTCCTATTACCCAGCTCAGTATGACAAAATTCTGGACAGAGATGGTCAAGGTGAGGAGAGACTTTTCCTCTTTCTTAAATATTACATGAAACCATTTCCAGATGCTTTTACATCCGTGTATGTGCAAGACTTCAGCTATTTTGATGTGAAACCTCTCAATAGTAGTTTAATAACCATGAAAAATTGCTATTCCATTTCTCTTAGTTACAGCCTCTTTTTCTTGACAAAGTGCTTAATAATATTGATTTGTCCTAAAGCAGGATCTTTGAGTTCACTTTCTAAGGGTCTGAATAGATATTAATAGATTATGCTCCTGCGCCTTTGAGATTTCCTCCTTGAATAACGTCCAGCCTTCCTGGACTCCTTTGCCCTTCAGGACTGCCTCCCAAGGGACTCTGTTAACCAGACTCCTGAACAGCCCGAAGTCTGCCCTTCTAAAGTTCAGGGTAGCGGTTTAACACACATCCTGCTTCTCACCGCTCTCTGTCCTGCTTTTGCTTTTCTCCGGCCATTTATTACCTTCTTTCCTTTCCCCACTTTCTATTCCAGTCTGTCAAGGAGAGAGCAGAGTCTGACTCCCGCAATGAGATGCTTCACCTGCTGAGAGTGAAATTGATAAAGGACAGCACCAGCCCAGGCAATTTCACTCACACCAGGCACTTGCAGGTGAAGCACTACCATAAAATGCAGCAAGGTTACTCGCCCGCTGCCTCCCAGCGCAAGTCACAACTGATAGCTGTTTCTCTCATGATCTTTTCACCCGTCTCCTGCCAGGCACTGCTTGCTCTGACCCCGGCGCGAGAGGTGGGAATCAGCCACATAGACCAGTGTTTGCTAGCGGGGGGATGAGCCCAGGCAAGTGCTCCAAATGTTGAATGCTCAACTGAAGCGTGGCCCAGCTGCAGGACCGCTGGAAGCCTTCCTCAGGCCACCTTCCCACTGGTGGTATCCCAGGAAGGATGCCCACGGTCCCACTCGCCTCACTGGGTACAACAACAGTCCCACAGAGCTGTGCCCGCTGCAACCACCTGACAGGACAAAGGCAACTTGTAGCTGTTTCTGTAGCATCTGATAAGAGTACCAGCCTGCTATTAGGTGTAATTTAGGACAACCAATACATCATTTTAGCTGGTGACTCCCACGGATCTATTTCAGCACAGGTTAGGTCCCAAGGGGTAGGGACACTATAACTCCAGCATAGCTTTGCCCCAATCCCGCTTTCTCTGCTATTTGAAAATCCTGTGTATTAGAGGACACCTTTTCACCAGCTCAGGATTTTTTTATTTTGATAGGAATATTCCTCAGAGCTTGACTGACACCGGGGCCGAGATTTTTTCCCTCAGACAGGTTAGCGTAAGGAGTAGTCATGAGAGAAGCCTGGTGATGCAGAGCAGGGAAGCTGGGCTCTGCCATCTACCCCTTTCTTCAATACTGGGAGTAGGGGATGAAATTTAAAAGCTCCAGATTTGAAACACATAAAGAGATTTTTCTTACATAATTCATAATTTTTTTGTCAAGTGAAGATATACTACGTCATAACTGAGACCAAAATATTTTGAAATCTAAAAAGGCTTAAGCCTTTAAGAGGAACAGTCATGGCTGCAGTTAGATCACATTGACAAAGCAGGATAAAAAGTTACAACAGTTAACCTTTCTCATACTTCCGGGCATAAAATTCCAGGAACTGAAGGGGTTATTGAGAAACTCCCTTTCTAAACAGTTCTTCTTATGAAGCACTCTATAATTGTTGTTAGAGACTTCAATACCAGGTAGTGCCAGATATCTGGTAGAGCAATTCCTGCAGTACTGGTAGGGGGAAATCGTTACAACAAATACTCTTCCTATGAGTCAAAATATACCTATCATAACATTTACAAAATTCAAGGACTGAAATTAAGACCCAAGAAGCACAGTGCAAACTCAATGTACATGAACACTCGGCTCCTAATTTGGCACATAATACCCAATTGAAATTAGTGGAAAAATGGGAGTCTCAAAAGGATTTAACTGCCTCAATACCTTCATGGTTTTTGTCTAGATTTCCAGCAGTCGCATCCCAAATCAGCTCTGCAGCCTTTATCACGTCGTTCCAGAAGGCTTCCCATAATCTCAGTTTCATAAACATAATGTGCTTTACAACGATGCAAAATTCACCACCAGGAACTGGACTTGGGTAAAGATCTTTGTCAATGAATGTGGCTGATTGCGTGAATTAAAACATCATGCCACAGAAGCACACAGGGCAAGGACAGAATATTTGAGAAATGTGACCACAGATTAACTGCTAATAACCAGATGGCGTCTGTGTGTTCTCACTTACGGGCTAGAATCATTTTGATATAGATTATTACACAAAAGCTTTCTTTTTTTTTCTTCCCCAAAATCTAGTTTAAATTTTGTCAAAGATCCTGAACAGTCTCTTCTTGAAGGAAAAAAAAAAATACAGATTCTTCTTTTCCCAGTTGATGATGGAAAACTGTGATCACCAAGAGTGATATTTAAGCTTGGAAACTTGGATAAGCTTGGATATTTAAGCTTACAGTAAAAAAATTAATTAAAACTGCTGAACAGGTAACTAGCTCAATTGATTTGGGGCTCATAGAGCTATAAAAAGAAAGCATTCCCCTTTGTTTTATCCACAAACATATTCCTGTATAAAGGTTTATTTCTTCCCAATCCCTATAACTGGTACTAATGTGAACAGCAATTACATTATTACACACTGAACCAGACCTGCTCCAAACATGGGAGACATGGGCCAGGCAGGCAGCAATCTTCCCACACTTTCTTTTGTGCTGGTTTAAAACTCACCAGGGACCTCACAGAAACCTTACCTATAGCAACCGCTGAAGAGAGGCATAAACGCAGCTGCTCCCAAGGCCGTTAGAGCCCAGGCCGCGCTAGCTGGTGCCACGTGCCCCCTCTCCCTCCTGGAGGGGTCTGGTTTGTGTTTGCTGCAGGCCATCGGTGCGTCCCTCTTGGCACGTTCATTTCTCCGAAGGCTCTGCCCCGCTGCCTAGGCAAAGGAGTCGGCTGAGGTGAATTTAGCCTTAAATATACAGTGATGGCTGTATAGTCGTCTCAGCGTTTTCTTTTGAGATGTAATTCAGTAGTGGTTTTTACCTTACAGAGCTCTTCTTTGCCTGTTTTATTCAGTCAGTCCTTTCTCTTTTTAATTTTGTGAGTCAGGTGTCAGACTGATTGCACATTTCTTTCCCCACGAGAAGGACATAGACCTCTATATTATACCAAAAGCCTGAAAGGATTTGTCTTAAATATTAGTTTGAAGGTGGTCATAAAGTCACAGGAGGTGCTGAATCTAATGCCTGAACAAAGATTAAAAACAAAACAAAAGCCAAAAAAACAAACAGACGTGCAAGTCACAAAACCAAACACAGCAATGGCACAACCAGAAAAGTTTCTACACGCTGTGTTCCTTGTCCGAACGCCGCACTGTTTACTTAGGTAGTGAGCTGGCTGCTGTTCAAAAGGATACCCTTTTTGTGGAACGCTGCAGGTCTACTTTGACCCGAAGAAGAAGCATACCTCACGTGCCACTGAACCCCACAGAGTATTCGCAGGTTACGGCACGGCTCCTGCAATGGTCCTGAGCGGCAGGAGGCCAACACCTATCCACCGGAGGACTGTGCCTTGGGAAAGAAGGAGGGAAACCAGCAGGATCTCCGCCCCACTGCTTCACAGATGGTGCTGCCATCCATCTGCGTGGGCTGGGCGTGCTCATGCCATGCCTTCACTCCCACCAGTCCCACAGGTAGCGTGGTCAATGACACTTTGCCATTGCCAAGGAAGCTTTGGATCCCCAAAAGGACTAGGGCACTTGATGTGCTCCACTTCCACTTCAGGCGCAGAGCCGTAACCCTCCTGTAACCCTGCTCTGCTGTCGTCTCACTGAGGAGGCACGCAGCACCCCCCCCGTCTTCAGGCTCAAAGCTCCCTAAAGGTTGTCTT